TCAGATATGTGGTGAGGCTACATCGACGAAGCTGTCATTAGCTATTCAGTCTGTTTGCGAGATTGTCAAATGATATTGTATCCTTTCTACTAAAAGAAATTTGCATATACAATCATCTGCCTTCTCAAGCTGCAATACTTGTGGGTGACATTAATACCCTCGTCTAACTCTTTAATAAGGGGTTTAGCGGAGAAGAATTTAGTGAGGCGACTTGATACTGTTTGCTTTTTCAAATCCTTTCATTGAAATTAACTCAACTTGTCACAACAGAACAAGCGTATTGTGCACTTAAGTGACTGGCTAGGAATGAGTGGTTTCACGCATTCCTGCCAGGTATAGGGGAAATGAAATACGATACTAAATAACTTGCCAAAAAGAGGGTTCAAGGTTGCCAAACTAGGTGTTTAGCTAGATGATTAGTTTATTTATTCTTGCGAAGACTTAAATTGCTTATCGTATTGTATGATGAAGAGAGTCCTAGGTCAATCTTACCAGAAGACGTCTGCTGATTAGCGTTGTACTGCAGCCGTTTGGCCTTAATACGACGTCCATGTTGATGCAGTCCACGAGACATTCTCCAACGTTTCGGGCGAAGACGGGCAGAGCTTTCGTTCGTCATGTGATGAACATCGTCACAGCTGAGACTCAAGTTAATACTAAGTCACTAGGGCTGATCGGCTTTTTTTCATGTGATATATATACTGATTGCAAGAAAAATCTAGGATATAAACGGATGTAGGCTACAGAGAAGCGCCACCAAGATTCTAAATGAGAAAGACGTGGCTGACGGTTTGGTTGAAGCAATCTATAAGATGACTAGGAGAGTTAAGGATAAGAAGCTAAAAAACGTAGGTATTAGGATCCGTTCAAGTGACCCTGTATCTTGAGCAAACATTAATAAGGATAGGTCTAACAAATTTTGCAAAGATGAGATTATTAATTTATCCAGTATAGAGATTGACGATGGTGTCAAATTTCTACTGGAAAGAGGATTACATTTTGCTATGAGATGCTTTGAAGGTATGCGTAAGTAGTAGGGAAATAGAGAGATGGAAAATGAATTCCATACATCAAAGAGATGCTAGGGCATCCTCAGCTTATGGCCTTCCAAAGATGCAGAAAGACGGGTTTCTCCTTAGATTGATTGTTTTACTAATGGTAGTGTTATGCATAAAATCTTACGTTTGTTATGCAGACAAGTAGGGAAAGTGACCGATTTTTAGGAGAATAAATACTATTAAATTTTTACATGGTAACAATGTGCACAAATATTCCAGTTCAAGAAGCAATTAAGGCTCTAATTATCATCCTTTTACGGTAAATTTTATGAACAAACACAAGGACTTGCAATGAGTTTTTGCTTAGCTCCAATTTGGGGAATAACTGCATGGCTAAGTTTGAGGAACATTTAATGCAAATTGTTTGTTACATATATGGATGATTATTCCGCTATCTGGCAGCATGGTAAAGGCCGTTTAGATAGTTTCCTATTTTCACTTAACCAGCTTGAAGGAAATATTACATTCATAATGAAATTATGGGAGAATAGGAAATTCGGTATTTTGAACATTATGGTTATTAGGGAAGATGGCAAGCTAGGCAGATATGCTTATAGTAAACCAGCATATAATGGTTTTGTTCTTAATTTTCTTCCTAAACATAGTTACAAAACTAAGTTTGGAATTTAAAAATATATGATCATTAGAAATATGTGGCTTGCCACTGAAAATAATCCGAACGAAGTGTTAAGAAGATTAAAAGTTTTATTCCTGGGGAATAATTATCATTCGGGCTTACTTGACAATAATATATCTTCAATAAGAAATATATTTTCAGGCGGAGACTATTTGGTTAAAGAGAGGCAAGCGCTTCCTCATGTTCTAATCTTGTCGTTATGTTTACTTTCCAAGAAGATAGGAGAACTAGTGAGGAAGTAGGGAATAAAGACAGTTTTCAAAGAAACCCTGACACTTTCTTCTGTTATACCTCCTCTTAGAGAGAAATATGATCCACTATCAAGTTCCGGCTGTTATAAGATTATGTGCTCCTGTGGTCGACGTTATTTTAGTGAGACCTGTCGGCCTATCCGCGAAAGGTTAGCGAAGCACAAAAATGCTGGTAAAGGCAGCTGGGTCGAAAGGTTAGACTTGGCCGAACACATAACTGAGACTGGGCATGAGATAAAATGGTATCGTACTAGAGGTTTATGGTACGATTATGGTATGCCTGCTACGAAACGCAGGATAAGAGAGGCTATTGAAATTAATAGATTAGGGAATACGTTGAATATGAGGAATGGTTGTAGAAAGTTGAGTAAGAATTACTTATACTTGCCTGAACGATTGAAGGAGAGAGAGTGTGTTGAGCCGCCGTCCTGAAGACGGCTTAATTTGTCAGCTGAGTGATCGTTCTAATAGTTTCATCCGTTCTCATCTGTTGAAATCGACCAACGAAGCTCTTCTTCATGCACTTTCATATAATATGAAGTTCCCCTAACAATGTTATCTCAGGAGATTCATCATATTCTCTTCGTATCTACATCGTTCTAATCAAGTTAACACTTAGTCTACAGACATTTCAAGCTCATCAGCCAAAACAGACGAGCAGGGCTACGCAATCCCATCCAAGCATCTCCTTGAGTCATTAAACCTTAGTAACCCAGACTAACGGGCTCGGACCTGCGGTTTGGTATCCTGGCGTTCACTTGTACGTACTTACATCTCATCACTTTAACCAGGGTTATTTACAGACTAATGCAATCTCGTTCATGGTTTTTTTACTTTCTTTTTTCCTTGGGTCATTAAACCTTAATAATCCAGACTAATAAGTTCTAACTGTTTCTTTTGTATCCTGACTTTCACTCGTACAGGCTTATTGAATAGTGATTACTCACGGATTAACGGAACCTCATTTTTTGTTTATAAGCAGAGTTTATAGACTCATATAACGCAATCTTGGGTCATTAAGCCTTGGTGATCCGGAGCTGACGTTACACTTTTTTCTTATTACTCTGAGTTATGGCCGACTTTGTGTATAGACATTTACCCATATACACAGACAGCGACACTCAAGTATACATGAATTAGCGAAACTACCATTTAAATTTTAACTTTTTATCGCAATTATTATGTATATCATATAGAATAAAGCCAGTAAGTCGTGTTGACTTTTGCAAGAATGAGTCCTAGCTCTGACGATATTCGTCACATAACTAACGAAAGTTCAACCCGTCTTCTCCCGAGACGGTGGACGATGTCTCGTGGACTGTATCAACCTGAAAGTCGTATTAAAGCCAAAGCGCTGCAGTCCAACTCTAACCAGCCGACGTCTTCTAGTGAGATTGACCTACCTTCATAATGTACTTCCATACTAAGTGATGGTCTTCATAATAATCTTATCTCAGGAGATTCCTTGATTTCTTTATTTAAGCTTATAAAAGTGGTTGGACCTAGTTTTCCCAATTTGATTGTGTCGTCAAAATTGCCTAGCTGAGCTCACCTAGTCCGAAGTACTCTGTAATAGTCGTCATGATAATTTGGATTGCGAAACAGAGGACTTGGCACAATTCCAGATGTTTCTCCGGCTTTGTACCCGGCGT